AAAATTGTACAGTAATTTGAAAGGAAGTGTCCTGTATTCCTCAACCAGTTTCCCATCAGAGGAGATTGCCTTGGTGTATCTCTGTATGATTCTTCTGTATCTTCTGGCAATTCCTGCTTCCCTTCCGCTTCTACTCTGTTGGAGCTGGCTGATGTTAACCATGGGTCTGTGTTGAGTAAATCCTTCCAGCTCTGGATTCACAGCAGCACGACTCTCCTGCAGGGAGAGTCTCGTGTCTCTCGCTTCTCTGCATGAGTGACGGTTCTGCGCTTGCACACCTTCCTGCCAGTGTCTGTTTAGGATGGATAGTGTCCATTTGTTAAAAGAAGGTTCAGCGATCTCTAGTATAAAAGTGGTGGTGGAGGAAGAGGGTGTCCCTTGCCTCCCTGCGCGCCACGCTAGTAGGAGACACGACCAAAACCGGACATAGGCAGTGTAACAGATGTGATTTTATAGTTTCATCTGGGTACAAATACTGTTTTCATCCAGTCACCCTCAATCCTCAGCTTGTTGAAAATCAGCAAGTGTGGGAGAAAGGAAGGAGGAGGCATAAATATTTGTGACCTAGGATACAGATGGCTGAGCGTAGGTGGCTGGGGGGGGGGGGTCCTCGGGAGCAGGGCTGTACTTGGCCCACAGGCTGAATGTTCCCCACCCTCTGTGTTGGGGCTGATAATTTGTCATCATTCTTTTATTGCATTAGTATCTCACTTTTTCTTTAAGAGGCTGAAATGAGGTGCAGTTGTTTCCGTATCCCTCTTCACTGCTACCTTGTGAAATAGGCAAGGTGACAGAGAGTCACCCTAACATACACCTATAACATGCATGACATTTTGAAAAAATAAGCCATATCCCAAATTTTATTGCAAATAAACTCACTCTCTGAAGTTCGACTTACACTGACCAGTGCTATCTTCTTTGGTTTTCTGTTTTGTTTTTCTTTTTTTCTTTAAAAAAAATCGTAGTCTTAATAGGAAAACAGAGTCTGACCGCCTGGTAGTTTTATGTGCCAAATTATATAAATTGCAATATGATTTTTTTAAAAAGAGAGAGAGAATTATAGATCCTGCCATTTTTATGCAATAATTAAATATAATTATGCACCTTTATGCCAAAATGGGAGAAATGATTGTAAATTACCTTGCAAATCCACCCTGCCTTCTTATTGGCTAAATCTATTTAGTAAGTGTGTTTTTATAAAGTGCTGACAACTTTCCTGTATCAGAATTATAACCAGTCGTATAAAAAAGGAATCTGAGATGTGAAAGTGGGGGCAGGCAGAGCTATTTGCTGCTGAAGCAATTTTGTTTTTTTCCAAAAAGTGCTGTTATAAAATGCAACATGCATTTAAGCAATAGCAATTTTCCCTGAGGTTGTGAAGCTCAATTCCACCCGTCCCCCCCTTAATTTGCTCTGTTGATTGCTAGCTAATTAGGGTGAGGTGTGAGGGTGGAGAAGCAAAGACAAATTACTAGCAGAAGAAAAAAAAGGGGGGGGATGTCGTGAAAAGTCTAAGAACATTCAGATTGAAAGGCAGTTCAGACAGAACTGGGGGAAAATGAATGACTACAGCTTCCACAATCCCCTAACCAGCATGGCTACACTCTCTGGGACATTCCAGACATTGTGATAAAAAAAAAGCCTTCCTCAGTACAAACCAAACTATCAGCTGTTAAGTACCAAAAGAGAATAGAGGGAAATAAATTTAGCTGGCTGGTAAGATCAGAGCAAGTCCATCAATAACTGATTTACTGTTAGCGAATATTCATAAGTGGCCTTCAGCAGGCTTTGGTCTTTCTTCAAAACAACTGTTTACTTATTGACTATCTTATAATATTTGTTATGCCTTATTTTGGATCCCATAAGTATTGCTAACAAAGAAATGGAAATTTGTCTTGGCAGCGTTGACAACTATATTATATATGTTTACACTGCAATTTTTTAAGCATGTAATCCTAAACAAACTGACCAGGGAAACAAGTTCACATTAAAGTAGCAGGATTTCATTCCAAGTAAAAATGTGTAGTGGTGTAAACAATGTGAATCCCCTGTTGGACTGTAATGCCTATCATCTCCATCCTTGGCTCTGGCTGGCTGGGGCTGCTAGGAATTCAAAATTATTTGTAGTCCAGCAATGTATGGAGGGTGAGATTGTTACACAGATTGTTATATATATATATTATGATCTTGTCACACTAAAAGAGTCACTGTTTACGTATGTGAATTTCATTTTTGGAAAGAAAAAGTAGCCAAAAAGTGCTTAACAAAAAATGGACCTCTTTTAAGCCCATCTGGCATTTATGGTCTACTTTAAAATGTAGCATCTCATTATTATTTTTTTTAAATAAAGATCTACAGAGGTTGCACCTCAAACCTGGGTCATTCTGACTCCTGAGTAGGAAGAAATGGCCTTGATCACGAGCTGGGTCCAGCCTGAGGTGGAGCAGAAAACAGCTGGCCCAAGTCAAGGTACCTGCAGCCACGGTGTTTTGACACATGAGGCAGGAAATTGCCAAGGTATCCCTCCTGCTTCTGCCAGGAGAACGGCAATAGCACATTAAAAAACCCCAAAAATCCTAACAAGAGGTTGCTTTTTCATTTTACCTGAAATCCACTGCCGGAGGCGGTTGTCCCACTCTCCTTTATGGTAGAGCCAGTCCTGATGTGTGCCTTACAGAGGTGAAGAAGTGTGAAGGTCACAACTTGACTGAGCCAGAGTTGGGGGAAAGTCACCTGCCAGGTTTTTCGGAACTTTGTCGTCTCAAGCGGAAATCAGTTCTGCCTTCCCTTTGCTTCTGAAAATGCAGAATAGAGGCTTAAGGTTCTGCCCCTAACCTGTTACCCAATAGCTGTGAATTCCTCTATCTACATTTGTTTGCTGCATAATATATTCTTTTCAATTTCTTTTTTATTTCCCTTTTTGGAAGACCATTGAAAACATCAAAGTCTACCTGCACGAGAAAGAGCTATGGAAGAAATTTCATGAAGCTGGCACAGAGATGATCATCACTAAAGCTGGCAGGTAAGTGCTGAAATTCTGCTCTGTGCTTAAACAAAATGTTTACATTAAAAACACACACACACACACAAAATACCTGGCACTATTTATCCAGTCTTGTTTCCATTTTGGAATTTAAGGTAGCATGCCAAACCATTTCAAATCTTTTAACGTTCACACGCATACTTTGCTCCCACTATTAAGGATCACTTCCTGAAACCTATTTTTCACTCCTGCATGCTTCTTAATTCTGGCTTATGCTGGAGTCTGACTTTGGGCAGTTTTAAAACCAGGAGCATGGCATTTCTTTTGGTGATCTATATTAACAGAAGAGCATCATACAACAGGGTTCTACAAGTTCAAAGTACACCTTGACAACGGTTGTGTTGTGTACCTTTGTATCTGCCTGCATACACTGGTGTCAAAGACGACCCACATACTCCCGACTCCCTAGATTTAATTTCAGAAACTCTGCGGAAAGGAAGTTGAACCTTACATTTTGTTGCCCAATACAATGACCCTCTAGGCAAGGGACTCTGTGCCCAAACCTATACGGGTGTCTCTGGAAGGCGAGGGAAGAACAAGGTTATATATACAGTATATGAATTATATATATATAATTTCAGCATATGCACATACCTACACTGACCAGGATCCTGTTTGCTTATGTGATGGCCATAAGTGTTTTCTTCATGGCCCCAGTTTCGCAGTGGCTGTTTTATTGTGCCACCAGTCACGCAAAGGGCAGCCAATTGGGGCTGGCGGAAACATTGCACCTCTGCCTTCAAGCGCCTGGTTTTTCTCTGGCTGGCGTTTGGCCGCCACGTTCCAGGGATGGGCATGGATTGGTGCCAATTTGGGTCACCTCCTGCGTTGCAGTTTCGCCCTTTCCTCTGGACACCCTGCTAAGTTATTTCAATATGGAGACCAAGATTTTTTTTTTAAACAGCTTCTCTTCTCTGACGAATAATATAAGGCTGTGGAACCTTGGGCACTACACAGTGTGGTGTAGCGCTGTGGTCCCCAACCTTGGGCCTCCAGATGTTCTTGGACTTCAACTCCCAGAAATCCTGGCCAGAAGAGGTAGTGGTGAAGGCTCCTGGGAGTTGTAGTCCAGGAACATCTGGGGGCCCAAGGTTGGGGACCACTGATATAAGGCATATAATGAGATATTAAATAACAGACAATGTGCTGAGTCTAGTAACTGACAAGCATTCCAGCGAGGCAGCTGTGGAGAGAGGAAATGGAGAGGCAATTGGCCAGCAAAAGTTACTATGAAATCAGTGGTTGGGTTAGGTAATTTTGGACGCCGGACTTAGAATACCTTCTGTGCGCTACTTTATCTCCTTCCAACGGTTGTCAGCCAGCCCTGCTGTCTTTGAGGGCCCTCTTGTACATCTTGTGGGAAAGGGCCTTGGACAAGTGCCCCCTTACCCTCTTACCCTTATGGCACCAACCCCCAGTCATGCAGTCTGGTAATGTAGGCTTTAAGGGCCGCTCTCGTTTAGATTCCAGTGTGTCTTGCTTCAAAATGGGAACAGCCGTGTCCCATGTCACCTTTAGCGACGCCTCCTGCTCACTCTGGTTACCAGAACTGGGCTCCAAAGATCTCAATAGCAGCATTGCTCGAAGCAGGAATATCTTGCCCTGGCAATCCCTCTGTTTCCTTTCTTATGTTTGGTGAATGGAGGATCTAGATGAGAGGAGTGTTCCCTTTAAAGATTGCGGTGTGATATGAAGGATGACTCATGTGCCCATAAAACATTGTTCCATCAGCTCTTGGATTAAAAAAAAAACTCCTGTTGAAAACAGGGCCACCTCACAACGGAAGGCCAGTTCTATAAATTATTAAAAAAAGGCCTCAAGCTTCTCCTTACTTACGTACTTACTTACTTACTTACTCCCTCTTAGACCTGATCTGCAGAAGAACACTGAAAAAAGCATGCAAACTGCATGTTTCAATGGGTATGGCAGTGTTGCCAAAAGCATATGATTTATAAAGTGGAAACATCTTTAAAATGCAGCTGCTATCTTTCTGATGTTTGACTGTTTTGATTACAGGGGGTGGGAATGAAGAGATTATTTCATATTATACGATCATCAAAAGATGGGAGAGGGGAGAGGGGAGGCCAGTTTATGTTATTACTGAATTCCCTGAACTTTGCATCAAATGGTTTGACTCCTTCATGGATGAAATATGGTGTGCAGAAGTATACAAGGTTTCAAAGGTTGCAACACATAAATCTCTGTGTTTTTCAAGTTCCAGAACTAAGTGATGACTTTATTTTAGCCTCTGGGATATCTTTTTTTGGTCATTGTTTGGAAAATATGCATTAGATTCAGTCCCTTCTCATTCAGGATCTGCTCTTGAACCCTGGGGGCTTTTGAGTAACCAGTGTTTGGAAGAGGGCAGAGGTCTGGATGGAGCATCGGTCCACTCCAGTAAGACTCCTATGAGTTGTGCCTAGTGATGTAACCCAGAAAGGGCTTCCAAGGTCCAAAAGGAAGTTTTGATTAACAGGAACAATGTTCCTCTGCCACCCCTGTCAAGGATCCCTTCTCTTTCTGAACTTAACTTAGATCATCACATCAGCTAGGGCGGAAATGGATCTTCCCAGACACGGGATGTTGTGAGCTGTCTCTGTTGCTAAGCGAGCGAGGGCTGTACCAGATGGCATTTAAACTTCTCTGTTTTTGTCCCTTTTCTGTCACTTGCTGATAGAAGTTAATGGATTTACTAGGAGTTATATCCTTATGGTGGTGGGTCTCTACTTTAGCACTCTATGAATGCTGTCCTCCTCCTTCCTAGCAAGGATCCGCTGTTGTTCTTACAGTTCACTTATACAGTATTTCTTTGTGGTGTGTTGGCTGTTGCTTCGTTGCGCTCATTGTTCATTAACAGTGAAGTATTTTTGGAAGTGACATAGCGGTTAACTCCACCCTATGGTACAAAGTGGAGCCAAAAAAATACCTTGAGGGTGCCGGGGAGAGAGAAGAAGGTTAGGGAAAAAAGGAACAAAGTGAAAGAGAAGGAATATCATTCAGACTTTAGGAAAAAATTTGGTACAAACAGTGCAGAACAAATGGCAGGACAGATATTCCTGATTTTGGCCTGGTTAGCTCTTGGATGTGCACTGAAAAACCAGAACTCAGAAGTACCAAGTCTCAAGTAACGCAATCTGTAATGATTCTAAACAGTATATATACTGTATTTGGATATGAAAAAGTTCCATCTGAAAAATGACATACTTAATAGGAATCAAGCTACTCTGTGGAGGTAATGAATAATGCTTTCCAGTTATTTTTAAAAGTAACTTTGAAAGGGCATTTAGACAAGGGTTTTCTGCTGTTCTTTTACAAATTCTGAATTATCATCCCTGGAAAAAGAAATTAAAGAAAAATCATGAGCAAAGCAAGAAGTTTTTTTTTAAATGGGTTTTTAAAAAGACACTGAAGAAAGTAATTAGCAATATGACAAGCAATTTTCAGACATTTTAGAAAGCTGGAAGTAGAAAAGTCAGCAGAGAAGTGGAGAATAAAACTGGAATGATTAAAGAAGTTAGAAAATAAAAGCAATCAAGGCCAGGAACTGAAAAAAAGCACAGAAAGTGAAAATAAGAGGATGATTACAAGTCAATGAAATAAAGGGATTTTTTTTAAGTGCTTAATTTTGGCTGGGTGGTATTCTTAGCAGAATTGATGCAGCACTTGTCCAACATGAGAACCAATGTTATAGACTAAATTAGGTAGATTAAAATCAGATATATTCAAACAGATAGACAAAAAAAGTGTTCATTGGGCAAGAAGGAGATTTGAGATTTAGAGCTATCACTCTGCGGTGTGGCTGATCAGGGACTTGGTGCCATTCAGCAAAGTCGCTCACGCTGCAGGGTGGGTGGTGAGGATAAAAGAGCGAAGAGGAAGGATGATGTACATTTGTTCCTGGACTCTTTGGGGGAGGGTCTGTTAGAAGCCTAGTGAGTGATGAAGTCACTCCAGAATGCTTCACAGACAGGAAAACTGGGTTTATTCTCTCCTGTCCTCCGTCCTGCACTGTTGGTGGGCGACGGTCCTACCTCTGGTGGCTGTGTCCTCTCGTACAACGTCCTTCCAGACCTCTTTTAAGAGACAATCCCTCGACAGCAGGGATAACCTCTTTCTGTCTTTTATGGGAGCAGTTAAATTGGATTATGAAGCTGAGTGGCGTTGTTAACTGCGATCCCACTTCTAAGATATTTATAGAGCCTTTTTGAGCTTTACCTTTGAAAAGACTGGGATCTAATTTTAGCTCTGTTATGGTTTGGACTCTGTTGGCATGGAGAGGATTTTTCTTTTCTTTCTTTTTTCCTTTTTGCAGGGGGTGTTTTGAAGGTATTGGTGATGGACTTGGAAGGTTCAAATTTGGTAGGGAGAGCAACCAAATCCCATGTCTTTCCTTTAGATCAAAGTGGCTGGAAATCTTCGCTTAAATCTCTTGCGTAGGATAGGATGGGTTAACTGTCTTTCATGTGGCTGAGGGATGGAATATTTTAAATAATAATAATAAGAGGAGCCGATGAGAGGGCCAGCCTATATAAAAGCACATTCCCAAATGTTCAAAACAGAACAAGGCAAACCGCCTAGATCCTTATGGCCCGGCCACCAGATAAATCGTCCTCATCTGTCCACAAGGCCATGAGTTCAAGGTTGTTGCTTGTGTTTAGGGAAAAGAGGATTTGTGGGGTTGAAAAATGAACTAGCAATGAGAACTCCTGCTGAACCTGTATTGTTTGTTATTCTGCAGTCAGGATCCGGCCTCAGCTAAGCCTGAACTTCAAAGAGGGCAGCCCTCGCTTTGTATATAGAACGTCATGGCAGAGTGGCACGGACGATAAGAGAAACTGGAGATGGGAGAAGCCTGGGAAAACGAGACCGCCATTGGAAAGGCTTTGATCTCGCCAAAGTATTTTCTGAAGGCCATATTCTTTTGCTCCCTTTTTAAAGTGGTTTTTTAAAAAAAAAAATCAGGAGAGCTTGACTTGTTG